TTCAAGCCTTTAAGTTTCACTGGGATATTCTTTTTATTACAGCAAATCTTCATAACATAAAATTTTACTATTTTAACCATTTTTAAGTGTACAGTTATATGGCCTTAAATACATTCACGTGTTGTGCTCACTAGGATTATTTTAATCAGCAGCTATCTGGGCTTCCTACCTATAGGCTAATCTGCTTCCATCCCATCCCTACATTTTGCCTGTGTAATCTTTCTAAAGTGCAAATGATGTTACTAGATGAATTAAAACCCATTCATTGCTTCCCACTGTCTACATTAGTGGTTTCATCACAAGGTTTTCACAGGTCCATGCTGAAATGGGATGGATAAATAAATAAATAAATAAATAAATAAATTGGACAAAGTTTTTCTAAATTTTTTCAACTTCATGAATGACAACATTAATCAAGATAAATACTGAACATGCATGGGAGGCAAAATTAATTTAGTTTTAGATATGCTAAGTGTCATATGCCAGTGCAGTAAGCAAGAGGAGATGTCTTGAAGGCAGTTGGGTATTTGAGTCTAAAACTCAGAAGGGAGTTTTGGGATAGGGGCTGTGTATTTGGAAATAATAATAAGCATGTAGTTGGAATCAAGGAAACAAGTTTTTGAGGAAAGTATGGAAAGCATAAAGAAAAAGGTGATAAATCCACATTAAAAAGACCAGCAGAGGAAGAACAGCTATAATTCTAAAAGAAAAAACTACATTTAAAGTCTTTTTTCTCACCCTGCTGCCATGATTGAAAGCAGGCAAGATCTTTGATACTAATGGCAAACCCTAAGTGAAGCATTTCAAGTGGTTTTACTCTCTCGCCTGCTAGATGGAGGTTGTTATCCATCTCTCTTGGATGTCCCTGTTTCTTTCTCCTTGAACAAAAAAATTTTAAAGCCAAATATGTTTGATGGGATAACCTCATTGCCTAAAATAGAAGGAATAATTTTACAAGAATTACTCTCAAAAATGGAACCTACAGTGAGATTTTTACTTTGGTACAATTCTGTTGGTGATGAGGAATTTGTTCTGTTTTCACTTCTTTCTGTTGGAAAAAAAAAAATATATATATATATATACATATACATATATAATCAGTAAGAGCAATTCAAGCCCACCAAAATTTAGAAATAAGCCTTAAAAGTTGTGCTTTTGGAAGTAGTATAGCACATCAGAGAGATCAAAGAGGTGGAATTAGACTTAATATTGCATCCTAGCTCCAAAACTCACTAGCAGTGGGACTCTGATCAAATTACTGTCTATATGTTTTGGTTTTGTCAGCCAATGATGTCTACTCCATGGAGTTATCATGAAAATTAAGTGTGTACATAATTTACTTCATAGTTCCTGGCACATAATCAGTATTAAGAATTACTTACCATTTGGAGCACCTGGGTGGCTCAGTTAAGCATCCCACTCTTGATTTCCACTCAGGTCATCATCTCACGGGGGAGTGGGGGGAGATCAAGTGCCCCATCAGGCTCCACACTGGGTCTAGAGCCTGCTTAAGATTCTCTCTCTCCCTCTCCCCCTCCTCCACCCCACTCACGCAGTCTCTTTAAAAAAATTAATTAATTTTGGGCGCCTGGGTGGCTCAGTCGTTAAGCGTCTGCCTTCAGCTCAAGTCATGATCCCAGGGTCCTGGGATCGAGCCAGTATTGGGCTCCCTGCTCTGCGGGGAGCCTGCTTCTCCCTCTCCTACTCCCCCTGCTTGTGTTCCTGCTCTCGCTATCTCTCTCTCTGTCAAATAAATAAAAAAAATCTTAAAAAAAAATTAATTTTAAGAAATAAGTTAATTTTTTAAAAAAGAATTACTGTTTAAAATATATCACAATATTCATTAAGAGTGAAAAATAAAAGTACACTGATTAAGAAAATTGGTAAATAACTATGTTCATCTACCTGATAGAAAAGTGTGTATTCCATTGTAGTACATATACATTGTCTGAATACGTAGAAAATATAAAAATAATGTTAATTGAAAAAATAAGTTTTCTATCTGAAATACAGCTTTAAAGGGCGCCTGGGTGGCTCAGTTGTTTAAGCAACTGCCTTCGGCTCAGGTCATGATCCTGGAGTCCCAGGATCGAGTCCCACATCGGGCTCCCTGCTCAGCAGGGAATCTGCTTCTCCCTCTGACCCTCTTCCCTCTCGTGCTCTCTAGCTACCATTCTCTCTCTCTCAAATAAATAAATAAAATCTTTAAAAAAATAAATAAAATAAAATATAGCTTTAAGTATGTTTTTCAAATTTATATAGAAATTGTACTATAGCAAATAGTAGTTTGTAACTATTATTTTCTAATTCCGTGCACTGTCATTGATTTACTTTCTTAATGTGTTACTAAAATAGCAGGTGAAATACACCAACAATTACTTTCCCAATTTGACTTCAGTAAGAACTTGAGAAAATTTTTTAATGAAGCTAAATAATCCATCACCCTATGTCTGAAAGCCCTCATGGAAGTAGCTTTGAACTGCGAACAAGAAAATCAGGCCCAGATACGTTACTGTTTTACCACAGGCCTCGTGTAAGTGTTTACTTGTCTGTGCTTCAGTATCTTCATATTTAAAATGGAGAAATCCTAATCCTAGCTCTAACCCTTTTCCTATTTCATGAAGCCCTTGGGAAACTATCATTGAGTAACATGTAAAGCAGTTGGAACCCAATTTAGTAAGCTACATAATTTTTTAAAGGCTATTGTCGATTTGGACAGTAAAGAATAGCCTGTGGGCGAATCCTGCAAGGTGCTTCAACAGCCGTACACAGCTACCTTCCTGTTGGCACCGTCCACATTTGGCAGGTGTATTCCATTCCTTACAGGAAGGAATAGGTGCTTCATTGTGTTTCAGAAGTCAGTAAGCTTTTACAGAACTAAGTAATTGACATTTTTTTTTCACTTCTGAGATCAAATTTTCATACATCATTCAACCTGGATAAACTGAGAATGTGGTTGATCTAGTAATTGTTGAAACATAGTAAAGATAGTGCAAGACATGATATTTAAGTATTTCCTTCTAACCTCTTACCTTAGCAAGATATGAGTTCTAAATGGAAATATGTCCTAATGTATAAAAAGGAAACTAAAGTAGATAAGCCTGTTAGTAAAGGAGAGGTCAAAAGAGGCACAACACCGATTCATCCCGGTAATGTGGAGTTCCACTGATTCTGAGTTTGTAGTAATAATAGTAACTCCGCAGAGTACAGCTTACTTTGACATTATGAAGATTTTTTTGATAGTAGTATAAATGAGGGTGGAGGGATATAACTAACCAACTTGAAAGTAATATTTTCTGGCTTTTTTGCAATGTATGCCAAAAAATGCTGTTAAATGGCCTGTCAATATTTCTAGCGGGAGTCCTTTTTTTAACAGTTAATTGAGGTTACTATCATATTTGAAAAATACATTTAAATTTTCATACTGATATTTTTCTTGCCCCTCCTCCAAAGTTTAGGTTAGTGAAACTCTGTCTTAAAGAATTTATGTAATCCTATAAATCATCATTTTCAGAGTGTATAAGATAGCACTAGTTTTTATCACTAGAGAAAATCCAACTAATACAGATTGGCCTGTGAACAGGGTGAATTGTCCAGTGAATCTTCTCATTCAGTAGTCTGAAGCTGTTTCAGTGGACGCATAATACTTTTGGATAATTTTTTACATTTGAGAAATTTGTAGTAATAAACTTAGGCAAGATTTGCCTTTTTACTCTAAATACTAGCATTTCTCAAAGCAAAGATTTTTGATGCACTGAATTATTTTGTTTCATCCTCTTGTTTTCTGTTAACAGAACTCAGCATATGCAGAATCATGCAATAAACTTGAGCTAGCTTTCAGAGTTGCATGCAGCTGATTAGCCATGTAAACCAGTGTGTATGACACTAAGAATACCCTCATTCCTTTAGTGTCTAGCTCTGTGCTGTGTTTATTTGCAAAGGACCCTCATGCATGGATCCATATAAATGAGGCAAGCTGGAGCAGACTAGACTATGTCGCTCACCAGTCTTTGAGGAGGAAGATTGTGTATATGAAAACTGGAAGATTTCTCTGTGTGTAACATCAAACGGGATTTTTTGTTGATGTTTTATGTTTTCAGTAAAAAAAATAAAAGAAAAGGAAAGGAAAAAAATTAATGGTCTGATTCCATCATTTCTTGTCAAGCAAAATCTCACTGATCTGTATGAATGCCATCTCCCACCCATAGAGTAGCCTAAGAACAGTACAGAATGGACTTCTGAACTCTTGACTTTATTTTCAGTATAATTGGTGAATTTTTTTAATCAACTAAAAAAAAATCACTTGTCTTTGACTAGAAACTAGAATCATTGCTAGCCTGTTTATATTACTCAGAATAGAAGCTTCTTTTTAAATGTACTACAGAAAGTCTGGTTTTTATTAGCATCAAATCATTTGTGTATATTTAAATGATTTTCATGCCACTAAAACGTGAAGCTTTTTTCCAACTGGCTAATTCCTAATTATTTTCATCAGCTGACTTTCGGGGGAAGGAAGAAATGTCATGTGTCAGAATTGTGTAACATACCAGTGTGTCACTTAATGTAGCTAAGTAACAGGTGTAAGAGCGATGGTATTTCTGTACTGAAATATGTACTTCTTAGGTAAAAATCAGTTTGAAACTGCTCTGCGTTTCATGTACCATCTTCTCATTACATAGTAAATGATTCATCCACAGCCTTAACGCAAGCAGGTAAATGTACTGAAATGAGTATGGTATATTTTTCATGTAGCATCTAAAGCTGACATAATCTGAAGATCTGGGTTAAAGTTTGTGTTGTTACTGTTTCTTTAACCTCAGATACTTGGCACTCTGCACCAGTGTGTCTTGCTGACAGTAATGCTTTGTCTCTTAACATGACTACTAGCACTGCTTGGTCACAGGCAAATAGTGTTCTTTTTCAGCCAAAACATTCCTGACAATAACTGCACTTTTTGTATTCTTCCCCCCCCCCTTCCCGCCCTCCTGCCCCCAACTTAGGTTGGAAAGGCTGGTGGATGTCCTGAGGAAGAAGGTTGGAACAGGGACCATGAGGACAGTGATCTGACTGAAAAAACGGCAGTCTGGGGAAGCAATCACATCTGGTGACCAGGCTGCTTCATTCAACACTGTGTAAACACTAAAGCCTTAACTTAGCAAACAGTTGTTAGAAGTGGGACACTCCAACCACATTCCAAGCTGAGATAAAATCAAATCACAAATGTTTAACCACTTTGCTGCTGACTTGAGTTATTTATCCAAATGTATTAACTACAGACTTTTACCAATGAGTAGCTATAAAGTTGCAGCTTATTTTGTAACTATTTTATATCTCACTGTATTGAATATAAATCTTCTTACCAAGAGACCATTGTAGGTCATATCTTCACGTACGGCCCTTTCTGAGTCAAAATGCGGCAAAGTAAATATTGTCTAAACCTTAATCCACTGTGTTAGGTCAAAACTTCAAATACATGTATTTTTCAATATACAATTTATTTCTTAACTGATGAGAGAAGCTCAGACATGAGAGTGTATGGTCTTCCTCCAATGCATACACATAATCTTTGTTAGTATTAAAGAATATTAAATCTAAATACCCAGAATTAAATGTATACTTTGCTCCAATAAGAGTTTGATATTTTAAAATTACATTAATCAAGGCATGATTTTTATTTCACTACAAATAATGTGAACTGTTTTCAATAAACAAAAAAGATACTGTTCATGTGTACTTTTAAATTCATATTGTCAACATTTTTTAATGTTGTGACTGAATAATTATCTGAACTCTATTTAAGCTATAGAAATTGCCAAGTCTGTCTCGTAGGCTGGGACACCTTTGGCTTGAAAATTAGCATGTGCCCACATGACTTTAAAAGGCAAGAGGCCATCAAACATGTTAAGTATTATCACTTGAATTTTTGTTGTGGAGGAGGGGAACCCAATATACAATAAAATTATAATGTAAAAATATAAGGACGTGGAAAAAAAGAAAACTGGCAATTTGGGTGGTTACCTACTTTTTTCTTTTATTTAAAAGATAATTTGAAGTAGTTATGGCATAGCAGTCACTTCTGATCATATGAAATTATGAATAAAACTAAAATTTATGTATTTGGCTATCGGAAAAATTTCTTCTTTTTTTTAGATTGAATAGATGAGAGGCCAGTAGAAGATGACTATGACTGGAACAGGATGAAATAGGCAAGTAGAGATTGAATTAGTGAAAATTTTGTAGGAAAGTGAAAATTTTTTAAGGCCATACAGTATTTCAATTGATCTTTAAGATTGAGCTAAGTTGTCTACCATTGCTTGTTTTGAGGACAAGAACAGGACAATTTATTGCACCATTCTTTCATACACCAATGGAGATTATTTGTGTGATTTTTTTTTTTTTTTTTACTCTGCAGGAAAATGTAAGGTGCTTTATCACAGAGTGACAAAAGAATCATAATGTTAACAAACTCAATTTCTTCCTCATTAAATTTATTAAGTGAACAGGCAGTTAGAACCATCCCATTGAGTTCCAATTTAGAATTTACTCATGTTGCCTGCTTTTAATTTTTCTTTAAACTATTAGAATTAGAAAATAAGGAACAACAGGGGTTAGAAATAAGCTAACTGGGTCTCCTCTATAGCCCTAAAGAGAATTATAGCCTTTCATAGACCAGTGACTAGATAAATAGAGAAATCTGAAATAATTTGGTCAGGTCTGGAGTCTTCTCTCTGGGCTCTAATTGAAACACGTGCAGCTCCCTTTGTGAATGAACAGTGCCTTTTAAGTCATGCAGGTAAGCAAAGAGGAACAGTTCTTGTCACAAAATAGTCCATTCCTGAATCCTCTTCAAATAAATCGCAAGTAAACTTGAATTTTCAGTTTAGTCCAGAAGACGAGACAAATCTTTCTTGAGTTATTTTGCTTGGGGTTTTATAAAACACCCTCTAAGCATAAAGACATTTTGCAGTTTCCAGACATCTCTTCCTATCCCTAACTGATCAGATTAGAGCAACCAATCCCTGTCGTTAATATCCAGAACTTTTAAAGAATTAGATATTATGAAGCAAAATTTATAAAACAATTCTAACATTTACTATTGTGAATGTAGATAATCACTACCAAAACATCACATCCCCTTGAAAATTAGTCCTGTACAAAATTACAGATGCTAACTTTACAGCCAGATATTATCAATTGATTTCTGGCACTTAAAAATGTCCACCAACAATGTTTCAGTCTTTACATTTTTTTGTCTATGAAAGAATGGCCCAGCTCACTGAAGATCAGTTCTCCACATATTCGGTAGTCCATGCTGCCCAGAGATGTTGCTTTGAGTTTGCCTTAAATTTTATCAAGTCTAATTCCCTTGAAAACATGAGAATTCACTTACCGTTGTAAAAATAAGTTCAGAAGAAAAGCAGAAAGATAATACAAACATGTGTAGCACTTGATTTATTATAAAATCCTTTCACATCTGTATTTTTATTTGATCCTATCAACAACCATATAATAGCAATAATGATAAATTATATATACATATATATCAACCACATAATAATGATGATGATAATTGTAGTAGTATCATTATTATTACATTTTACAAAGGAGGAAATAGACTCAGAGGGTCTAGGAGTTTGCCAAGGACTTGTTAGGACTTACAACTGAGGTCTTATGACTAAACTCCACACAGCCATACCTCTCTAAACCTTTCTGTAAGAAAAAAAATATGAAAATTTTAACTCTTGCAATTTTTGTTATTATTGTGCCATTTCTTTTCTACACATACATATAAATTTGCTAACAATGGAGATGCATTTCTTTCAGTGAAGTGCAATAATGTGAACTGCATGGGCAAATAGCATCACATCACCTCTCTGTAGTGTTATAGTAGCAGCATACTTTGCCTTAGGCTTCACTCATTAGGAGTGACAATTCACTGTTAGTAAAAAATAACCTTGAGTTGCTTTGTACTATTTTTAATTTGGCCTGATGCTGAAACCTGACAGTGTAGTTTTATCAAATGGTGGTATGAACTTCAAGGCTTATTTTACCTCCTAGAGCAACTATTAGAGATAGAACTGGTTATAGGCAAAAACTTTATAAGCAAGGTTATTGATTATAAGCAAGGTATGAGGAGTTATAGCAAAGTTATTAATTATTAATCTATGAGAAATTTTAATTCTATCTTTATAACTAAGCCATTATGTTAAAATTATTTAAAATATTTGAAATATTTTATGTAATAAAATATTTTCCTAATTCAATGAGAAAGGTGGTCCTTTGTATATATCCTTATTCAAATAAACTGAAGAATCTTGTCAGTCACTTACTGATAGAATTAGTTTACTTCACAAAAATGTTAGAATACTAAAATCTATAGTTTTAATATTGGATATAGTTGCATAGAAAAGCATTTTTATATGTAGTATTTTTAAGGATCATAGATATTTTTTAAGTTTTTATTTTCAAATACTCATGATTAATGAGACATTATAATGATCAAATAACCATGGCTTACACATTTTATCTTCTCACATATGGTTTGCATGGAACCCAGATTTTTCCTGACATTATTTTGTTGTTGATAACTGTTATTTACAACTAACCTATCTGTTGACCTATTAATATCTATATACACGTATATATCTATATACTTAGATGTATACACACTGACACACAGACAAATACATTTTCCCTTTTAAAAATTTGATTTATAAGTCCACTGTTAGGCTCCAGTGACTTCAGTATTTTGTTCATGTTTTATTAGAAATGCACGTGGTTCCTGAGGCTTTTAAACAAATACATGGAATGGTTGAAAGATTTATATTGCTCATGCTTAGCTAAATATGTCATCTCTAGAAAAGATGTGGTTTATTTTGGCACTGTTTTAAAAACTCAAATATTTTAAACATTTGTTAAGTTGGAGCTTGCACATTTGAACTAGTAGCATACGTTCCAGAATAGCTTCTCAAATTACCAAACTTTTTGTAATCCTTTTACTAGAATAACCTTTTTTGAAAGTTTTTTTCTGTTCTTTTTTATTATGTACTTTAAGTTAAATTTATAGAGGTTGGAGTTATTATTTTTAATGTAGGATTTCATAAACAGAAGAGGGCAATGATGAGTATTTATTTTTGAGAATCATTAAAATATTGTATACCATTTCTACTTCTTTGCAGAAATCTTAATATACTTATTTTTGATTTTATTGTTATCTAAGTATAGTTTTGGAGTACACTAGTACTTTTGAAGCCACCAGTTTCTTGACTATCTGATTATTAACAAAGATGCATTTTAATGCACAAACTCAAATATCTAAAATATATATATATTTATTCATATAAAATCCCCTACTGCAAATCCTACACATTTCAATGCAATTCTTATACATTGATCTTAATCAGATTTATAGTGGTACAATCCTGAAGATCCTTTACTGGATATGCCTATAAAATATACTGCAGTAGGAAGACCAATTAAATTCACCATCAAACTGTGTCTGACTTCCTTAACAAATTTAATAAAGATAAAAATTGATAGGAACAAATTTTTAGGTACCTTAGGAAACTTTAAAAACTATTTCGTGTCATCCTTGCGCAGGGGCCGTGCTAATCTTCTCTGTATCGTTCCAATTTTAGTATATGTGCTGCCGAAGCGAGCACTTAAAAACTATTTCGATATAAAATAAAATTATAACAATAAAATATTAAAGATAAACATTACTTTGGTAATATGGTTAGGAAGAACCTAAGGGGGACACCTGGGTGGTTCAGTTGGTTAAGCGTCTGCCTTCAGCTCAGGTCATGATCCCGGGGTCCTGGGATCAAGCCCTACATTGGACTCTGTGTTCAGGGGGAGTCTGCTTCTCCCTCTCCCTCTACCCCTCCCCCCTTCTTGTGCTCGTGCTCTCTCTCTCTCAAATAAATAAATAAAATCTTAAAAAAACAGGAAGAATGAAAGAAAGAACCTAGGAAGGGAGATTAGTTCTCTTAATGAAAAAATAATAGACTGATTGAAATCTACTACAAAGCACCTCTACTAATTTCGGAATTTGTATGTGAAATTTTGCTGTAACCAATAGCTGAAATCTAAAAACACTGCTTCTATTCTGTTTAATTATTCAGTCAAGGTAAAGTAATGTAAATACATACATACACACATACCCCTGCAGGCAGGGAACTTAGTGAACTTTGAATTTAAAGCTTAAAGTACATGGCTAAAAAAGGATGAGGGTGGGGTGGGCAGTAAGAATCTTTGGGGCAGAGATTCTATAAACTGTTCATGTCTAAACTGTCACATCACAGTTTACAAAAATTGTTTTCTCACCATGTATGGTCTTTGTGATGTTATCATACATTTCACTTCTACATATGTACACAATAGTAACATTGTTATTATTGTTGTTTTATTTTTTTTAAGATTTTATTTATTTATTTGACAGAGAGAGAGGCAGCAAGAGAGGGAACACAAGCAGGGGGAGTGGGAGAGGGAGAAGCAGGCTCCCCGCTGAGCCAGGAGCACGATGCAGGGATCGATCCCAGGACCCTGGGATCAGGACCTGAGCCTAAGGCAGATGCTTAACGACTGAGCCACCCAGGCGCCCCTTATTGTTGCTTTAAACACCAATTTTTAAGAAATTTTTAAAAAGTAAGAACATTATATTTACCCACATATCTACCATTTCCGGGGCTCTTCTTTATGTAGATCCAATTTTCCACCCACTATCATATTCCTTCTTCCTGAAGCATTCATCATGTATACTAATGCAGGGCTGTGAGTGATGAGTTCTTTCAGCTTTTGTATGTCTGAAAAATGTCTGGATTCTTTTCTTTGCCTTCATTTTGTGAAAAAAGTTTTTTGCTGAATATAGAATTTTAGGATAATTTTTTTTTCAGTATTTTCAAGATGTTGCT